TCACTTTCTAGAAAGTGGAAATAGCAAACAACACTGTTGCCAGTGGGCGTCCACGGACGGTCTTGCTTGTCTTCAACACGTCGAATAACACGCACCCACTGCCTACATTTCTCCTCATCCGATGGAAATGAGTGTCCACCTCTATTACTGCACCCGGGAACAGAACAACAGGTGCTAGGCATGCCTATTCATTCAGAAACTAGAGCGATCTATTGTTGTTGTGCGTAGAGCGTGAAGCGTAACCAACATGGCGACCGCGGTTTGTTGGCCCATGCGGCAGAGACATCTTACGGCCATTGGAGGCATAATGGCGCTAGTTTCAAAGTCCCCCATTGCACTGTCTTGGGTGATGACGTTCCTCCGGACTCTCCAACAAATTCTCACCCTACCTGTTTTTACCAGTTCCAAGTCATTGGGGTGACCAACCGTGGAAATACACTTCTGAAAGGGTGCCACATTTAACTGTAGATGATGTAATATTCTCCAATTTGCAATAATCAATACAGTGGAGTGAGACGTCAGAATGCAGTTCACCCCTTCGATTAGGAGCCCTCATCCTACCCTCACATGGATGTCGGTACCCAGCAGGCAGGTTTTGGATATAGAGTGAACCAATCAACATAAGTACTTACATAGGTTCCGGGTTGTCTATCTTCCTACCTTGGTTTCCTCTTTCTGTGTTGTGGGTGACAGCGGCGGTACGTAGGATTGTTCGGGTTTTGTCCTTGGCTATCCCTCATTCTCTCTTCCTTCCTGGCCTTTTTCATGGTTGGAGGAGTTGATTGCATGCCATAGACATCCTTTCAATTTCGGATTGATAGCTCAGAGCTAATCCTTATGTCATACCTGTGAATAAGAGTGGTTCTCACTTTCTTGGGTTTGAGGTGAAGACTGTTTGATCCTATCCTAGCACGGATGTCAGTACCCTGCAAGGAGGTTTTGGATGCAGCTGGCTTGCTGAGTATGATCCGCCACAGCCTAGCCCTCTACATCCAGTAGCACATCCTTGTTTACCTACTTTTCTCATTGAGGGATTGAGTTACAATATCATTCTCTGATTAGGATCACCTTCCTACCACATTCTTTCCGACTCAGATGTGCTCCTCTCATTTTCTGCCCTGATATCTTACACATTCCACACATGGGCGAAGAGTATACCTGGCTCAGAAGTATTGCAGTTCCTCTCTTTCAATCTGACCCTCTCATCTGTGGAGGTATCCTTCAGACGCTTTTGGGGGTACGTCTGTTCTTCCCCCACACTGGTCCCTTCTCCTAATCAATGTGGAATTCTAGCTAATCTTGTGAGAGGAAGGAAGTACTGTATCAGAAGTTATAATTTTCCAACAGTGAAAGTGTATTTCTGATAGGTACTTCCCTTCGCTCACAATTCCAGTTTCTGCCAAACTTCGAAGTGATAGTTTGGTAGAAGCATATAGAGGGAGTCATGTGTCACGTGAGTGTACTATGTTCCTATTGGTGGAGAGGTGACACATGATGATTTGCATGATAGATATATTGGAATCACTTGATTCCGATTGGGGGAAGCAGAAGGCTTGTGGCATGCTTAAAGAAAAAGTTTGCATATAGGGGGCAGCAATGAACAAGAATAGCTAATCTGGTAAGCATAGGGATGCACAAGGAAGATATCTTTTCTGTGTGTTGAGATGAGTATCTATTGGAAATACATTTTCAGTATAGGAAAATTATAACTTCCATTATATTGTTACCATTTAAAACTATTTTTTTCTAAACTTCCAATTGAATATGAAAACTTGCTCAATGCTAATGATGTTTTTACAGTTTGAACTAACTTTCATTTGAGATATTAACACTGATGATGTAATTTATGGCAATTCTTAAACATCCATATTAAAGACATTTTTTGGTATTACTGTGCTTTTAATATTTATTATAGTATTGATAGCACTGATCCATCTTCTTTTTTTTCATACTTAGTGGCAAGAATATTAGGACTCGTTACGAAGAAGAAATAGATTTACAAGAAATACTGTGCACACAAGAAAAGTAGCAAGTAAGTGGAATTATTAAGTTAGGTCTATTCCTCAATAAACGGTACATTAGTTACGTTAAAAGGTAGAACCTGAAGTCGAAGAAATACAATGCTTTTGTGACAATTAATTTAAGTGAATTAAACTATATATTTTTTTATTTTTCTTATAAAATAATCCAAACCAACCCGCACAACAATAGCAACCACTATGGCAATAGATTCACTTGTCATACACCATTCCTTGCTGATCCCATGTTTTACCATCACTTTATGTTTCCATTCTTTGTGCAAACTAAACACTAGCTTAAGACTAGTACTTATAGAGACTCCTACCTTGCCAAAATTTATAATTGTGTCACCCTAAACACAATATTTACAGCATTGAACTAACTACTTGTCAAACTGGCTGACGGTAACAAGTTGACTAAATCGTGCACAGATTACTCATAAACTGACTAACAGACTCAACAATCCACTGTTGCTTAACTAGGTTTTTATACCTGGTTGAAATTGTTTTCTAAATTTTAGATAAGGTTCTAGATATTAAGGCCACGCCAATTCCTTCCTTCCGTCTAGAGAACAATAAAAACTTCTAGAAATTTTAAAATTAAAACATTCTACAATATTATAAGCAAAGGAAGTAGTAGCAAGTGAAACCTGAGGTAATGATGAACACAGAGAAAGTTGTATAAAGAATCCAAGAAGGTGATGCATGGTGACAATAAAGATCATGGACATAGAGATGGGTGAATGGAGGATCTAGGAGGAGGATGTGTAATTTATGAACGCATTAGATTTAGGAGAATAATATATGAATGAATAGGTTATTGAATGACGGTTTGTTATGGCAAAAGTTGTGATACATTATCAAAGAAAGTTTAATAACCACTGGCGGATTTAGGGGGTGGTCCCGCATTCCCGGTACAACCCTCAAATTTCGCATATATATTTTTGGGACACATCACTTAACAAAATCAAGAATTGAAAAAATAGCCGGACCATTCTCGTGGACGAGAACAGTGGCCCACTCGTCAACGCGACATTGGTAAATAATTACACCATACCACTACTTATAGTCAGATGTCTGATCTCGTAATTTTGTTACACAATCTAAGGCGCTATTGTAAAAACAAAAACTATAGAGTAGTATCAAATTAACAAACTATTTTAGCAGGTAAAGTATGTACTGTGGGAAGAATTTTTTTTTGAGAGTTGGGAAAGATTAGACGATGAGTGATCAAACCATAAATTGACTGACAGTTAAATAAAAATATTTTATACAGAAAAGTGGGTTATGTTTAATGAAAAAGCAGTATTTAATGACAAAAAGAGTCGGGAGAAAAGGTATGACAATGAATTGATCCAGTTTATATATGTACACATTTTATTGAAGCCTTGAAATCAAAATTCCAAATTTCGATTCGAAGCCTATTTGCCACCGGTCAAGTTGATCTGTTATCCAAGATGAATGAATAATTGAATAAGTTTTTTTTATGTATTTGTGTTTACAGGCTGTTTGCTACCCGTCTTAATCTTGGCCCAGAGCCCGGAGAAACTGCCAGTGAGAATGGGTAATTTTTTTATTATTATTATTTATTTAAAAGGGTATATTCAACTTTTGGTGAAAAAATGTGAATTACTTGAAGACTATCTAAATGAATATTATTCGCTATAAAATTATGGTTCAAACCTGTTTTGTAGGTAAATAAGTCTCATAGGCAAGTTTCAGTTATTCGGGTTTTTATTGAAATTTGTATATCCGAAAGACCCATATTTATTACTTACTGCATAATTGACACAAAGAATTTAGAATTAACAAAATGTTAGTCGGTCACCTAAAATCCATTTTCAGAATTGAATAATTCCCTTAAGAACATAAGCCAATATTTTCTATTCTTTGTATTCATTTTATATTTGGATGCAGAATGAATTACTACACATTTTGCGGAATATAAGATAAAAAATCATGTCCCAACGTGGACTTGAACCCAGGACCTCTCCCTTACAGGGCGAGTACTACAGAGTCCCACCATTATGTTTTTGCCAATCGTGTTTTCGCAAAATACCTCTAGGTTCGACCCGGATGTATTATAAAAATGACTTAGAACTAGAATGTACGTTATTACTAAAACATTTGGAGGGAAAAAAAGGAGCAGACACATAATATTGTCCAGATGTCAACATTTGCACTTTTAAATAAAGCTGAAATTTACAAAACGAAAAAAGATGTACATCAGTATATTTTGTGTTTTTAAGTTGTTTTAATGTGCTACCTTTATTTTAGTAAGATGGTGTTGGAATGTGTTAGACTAGATGGAAGTACTGGAAAGAGAAAGCACAGTGAAATGAATGTGTAGAAGATTTTCATGCTTGAAAAAAATGTTCCCTTCAGTGGTACAGTGGTGTGTCTGCGGACCTGTACTACTAGAAACCGGGTTTCGATACACGTGGTGGGCAGAGCACAGATAGCCCTTTGTGTAGCTTTGTGCTTAATAACACACAACTGGAAATATGTACTATGTCAGTTTTCGGATAATGGAAAACTCGGATATCTTTTCTTCTTAATATTATAACTATAAATGGTTAAACTTTATTTTGTTATTGTATTTTCCTGGACAAACGAGTTCAGTCTTTCTCGGAAGCGTTAGAACTCTTGTCCTACATATAGTATGCGGGCCTCAGAAATGTCATTGCTTGAGGATCTACACTGTTTATTTGGCAGCTCAATTTCGACACCCACACTAGTAAAAGATAGACCAAGAGATATTGGTGCAGTTAAAAAAGACCCACGTACACTACCAGACAAAACTAAATACATTCTACAGCAAGAGTATTACATTCCTAGCAAGACCTATGTATTCCCTGTCACTAAGTATAATGGTATAAACAGAAATTTCCAAAGATTTTGGTTAGAACGTTATCAGAGACTGGTTGATTTAGCAGTAGCCGATTGTTGTTTTTGTGTATTGTTTGTTTGTTCTGAATTTCGTGCAAAGCTACAAGAAGGCTACCTGCGCTAGCCGTCTCAAATTTAGTAGTGAAAGACTAGAGTGAAAGCAACTAGTCATCACCACCCACCGCCAACTCTTGGGCTACTATTTTACCAACGAATAGTGGGATTGACCATCACATTATAATGCCCTCACGACTGAAAGGGTGAGCATATTTGGTGTGAAGGAGATTCGAACGCGCGATCCGCAGATTGCAAGTCGAGCGCCCTAACCACCTGGTCATGCTGGGCCCTGTTTCTGTGTATATTGTGCCATCTTTGGTAATACTGGTCTTGATGTTCTCAGCACCACTTCTATTTCAGACATATCTCTTGCTCAAGGTCGACTCGATAGACAATTTGTGAAAGTTGGTTCCTATGCGGGAAGAAAAGTCTTGAATTTTGTCGAAAGTGAACTTACATTTATGCGTATGATAGAGATAAAACAAACGATGTAAGAGTCATGCCTAATTCTAGAAATGCTGAAGTTCTTAAGTAGAACAGAGAAGTATTGTCATCGGTTGTCAAATATGTAGTCTTGGGTGGAAAACAGAACCTTGCATTAAGAGGGCATGGAGATGGTGGAAAAAATTGTGGGAACTTTCAAGCTCTGATAGATTTCAGAATGGAATTTCGGGATGAGAAATTAAGAACTTTTAAATCTGCTCCAAAATGCCACTTACAGGTCAAAAGCCATTCAAAATGAAATGATAAATGTAATCGTGGAAGACTTAGTTCAGTAAGTAAAACAGAGTGGGATATATTCGGTATCTGCTGATGAAAAAACTGACGTTAGTGACTCAGAACAGCTTAATTATTATAATTATTATTACAATATATATAATTATTATATATATTGTTGCAAGCTTAATTACGTTCGCCCATGCTACCTGACATATTCAGCTGATTCGATCTGCAGCGATGGCTTGCCAGCTATCCGTGACATAATACTACGTAAAATATATAAAGCGTTCTTTGTATTTGTTTATGATATTGTTATATTTAATATTTATATGTTCAGTGTAATTTAATATTAATTTATTTTCATGTAAAAATTTAGTTTAGAAATACTTTTAAATGTTTTATTAAATTCCTGAGCTGGACAGTTCTTGCAGAAACTTTTCTTGGTTAACACATTTCAATTGATAATACAAGGTATTCATATGAACCAGCTAGTTTATACCTATACTTCATATCAGATAATTAATTTAGAAAATCCCAGACATATATGTTATTATAAATCGTGATTTATGATATATATGTTATAATATTATATTATACATTATTATAAGTATATATATTATTATTAAGAAAATAATAAATAATATATATTTATTATAATATATAATAGTATTATATAATTTTATGTATTGTATTTTGTATAATATATTATATATAATCATATTTATTCTGCATTTTACTTTCGAAAAACGATCAAACGTGTTAGGTGATGCCGTTGCTGTCATGAATTTGTTGCGTCAGGATTGAACTTGTTTCTACGGCAACGAGACGTCATTTCTTCATTTCTCCTTATTTCTATTAATCATTCCGCTAAAGCAACATTTACTCGAGGTTGTGTTGCCATGTGCATTACCTAATGTCATGAATAGAATGTCAAAGAACACGTAATTGTCATGCGACCTGGATTTACTTCAAAGTGAAGATAAGGCCTATATGGGGCTACTTCTACCAACACTTACCACATGTTTGACAAAACTGAAAGAGTTTTGTGATAAACCACTCCAGACTTGCAAGCCACTTGTTAATACTTTGTTTCACTAATTGAGAAGCACTTTGAACTGCCTTTGTCAATGAGGATCACGTTCTCGCAGCTGCTTTTCACCCATAGTTTAAACTGATTTGGATTAGCTCGAGAAACTGTAAAAGAAATGATGATTAAAAACTTTCAAAGAAGATGGAAGGCGGTGGTGATGAAATTTCAGTAAATGCTGATTTAAATATCTCTTTATTTACTTC